AGAAAACTTGTCTCTCTTTATAACCCGAAAGCATAGAAAAGTCCTAAAGAGATCAAATGCAGGCAGCAAGTAGCAGCATCTTGCTGCTGCAGCTGCAGCAGCAGCAACAGTTGCTGCAGCAGGAGCTGCTGCTGCTGCAGCAGCAGCAGCAGCAGCACTAAATATAGAGATAGACAGCCTTGTCTAACCCCACAGCAGCCAGCAGCCGCAGATTGCTGCTTGCTGCTAGGCCTTTGATCTGCTGCAGCGGCCCCCGCAGCACAGCAGCAGCAGCAGCAGGAGGTCCCCCTGCTGCTGCACTTGCTGCTGCTGCTGCTGCTGCTGCTTCTGCTGCTGGCAGCGCATACACCATCACTTCAGCCCCACCAATCTGAACAGCAGCACAAACCACATAAACCATAAATAGCTAGCTAGCTAGCTAGCTAGATAGCTAGCTAGATAGCTAGCTAGCTAGCTAGATGGATAGATAGCTAGCTAGCTAGCTAGATGGATAGATAGCTAGCTAGCTAGCTATCTAGATAGATAGGTAGCTAGCTAGCTAGCTAGATCGGTAGACAGCTAGCTAGCCAGCTAGATAGGTAGATAGATAGCTAGCTATCTACACACGGCTAGCTCGCTACAGCTAGCTGGCTGGCTAGCTAGCTGGATAGCTGTAAAACACCCGCAGCAAACTGCAGCAACCGAGCGCGTCCACCACCACCCACCAACAGCAGCACCAGCAACGCCAGCAGCAGCAGCAGCAGCAACAGCAGCAGCAGCAGGAGCAGCAGCAACGCCAGCAGCAGCAGCAGCAGCAGCAGCAACATACTCTTTGTGTGGAGACATAGAGGTAACGACCTTCGGGGCTGAGCGCCATAGAAGGCGTTGAGTAGCAGTCGACGCCAGGCACCTGCAGCCGCAGCAGCTGCAGCAGCAGCAGCAGCAACAGCAGCAGCAGCAACAGCAGCAGTAAGAGCAGCAAAAGGTGCAGGTGTAAACTCCCAACAGCAGCAGCAGCAGCAACAACAACAGCAGCAGGAACTGCCGATATCAGCAGCAGCAACAGGAGCAGCAGCACCTGCCGGCATCAGCAGCAGCAGCAGCAACAGCAGCAGCAGCAGCAGCAGCAGCAGCACCTGTCTCTGTGTGTATACAGAGAAGACAACGACGATGCCGGTGCTGAGACAAGCGAAGAGCCAGCCCCGCTGTCTTTGGCAAATCAAAGACAGCACAGACACCCCACACTTCTGCTGCTGCAGCAACTCCTCTTCCTGCTGCTGCTGCTGCTGCTGCTGCTGCTGCTGCTGCTGCTGCTGCTGCTGCTGCTGCTTGGTGTTTAAGTCCTCTATGTAGAAAACAGCAGCAGAACGCCGCAGCGCTGCAGCATCAAATGAAGCAATCACAGCACACTCATGCAAAGCAACAGCAAACCTGCTGCTGCTGCTGCTGCTCCTGCTGCTGCTGCTGCTGCTGCTGCTGTTGCTGCTGCTGCTGCTGCTGCAGTCGGGGAGGAAGCAAAGACAGCTGCAGACAAAACCCTGCAGCAAATGATGAAAGACAATCTCAAAGCAATCGAAGCGCTCCGCATACACCTGAACAACAGCAGCAGCAACAACACACACACTTCCGGCTGCTGCTGCTGCTGCTGCTGCTGCTGCTGCTGCTGCTGCTGCTGCAGGGTCTGCTGCTGCTACGAATCCGTAGCAGCAGCACTGCCCACAGCACAAGCAGAGGCACCACCCTAAACCCTAAACACTAGCACTAAAACCCTAAACCCTAAACCCTAACCCTAAACTCTAAACCCTAAACCCTAATCCTAAACCCTAAACCCTATCGCCCACCCCCTAATCCCGAACCCCCAAACCCTAAACCCAACCCCGCAAACCCTAAACCCCAAACCCTAAACCCTAAACCCCAAACCCTAAACCCTAAACCCCAAACCCTAAACCCTAAACCCCAAACCCTAAACCCTAAACCCTAAACCCTAAATCCAACCCCCCAAACCCCAAACCCCAAACCCTAAACCCAACCCCCCAAACCCCAAACCCTAAACCCCAAACCCTAAACCCTAAACCCTAAACCCTAAACCCTCACAGCGAAGGAGCCATCTCTGGCGGCTGTAGCAATGTTGGTGCCATCGAAGGAGAACTGGCAGCTAACCACCGCCTTTGTGTGTGCTCTCAGCTGCTGCAGCACTTCACCTGCTGCTGCTGCTGCTGCTGCTGCTGCTGCTGCTGCTGGTGCTGCTGGCGGGGTTGCTGCTGCTGCTGCTGCTGCTGCTGGAGGAGGAGGAGGCTGCATGCGTTCAGGCGGCAGCAGAAGAAAACAGCAGCAAAGGGTTGTGTATAAATATATACACAAATAAAAATTAGGGTTTAGGGTTTAGGGTTTAGGGTTTAGGGTTTGGAGCTTACAAGCTGAAGCAGACAGAGACTTCCATCCAGCAACCCCACAGCCATCACCTGCTTCATGCTGCTGCTGCTGCTGCTGCTGCTGTTGCTGCTGCTGCTGCTGCTGCTGCTGCTGCTGCGGACTGCCATGGCTATCACCGGCGAGGAGAGATTCCCCCATTCGCATACAACCTCACAAGAAGTAACCTTGCTGCTGCTGCTGCTGCTGCTGTTGCTGCTGCTGCTGCTGCTGCTGCTGCTGTTGCTGCTGCTGCTGCTGCTGCTGCTGAGGGGCGGCTCACACCTCAGTCGCAGCAGACGCACAGCCTTGTCGGCGGTTCCTATTGCAAGCAGCACCTCGCTGCTGCTGCTGCTGCTGCTGCTGCTGCTGCTGCTGCTGTTGCTGCTGCTGCTGCTGCTGCTGCTGC